GACTGCTTAAACTTAACTTTGCACAAAACTTTGACTCTTAAAACCCACATGTGACAAAACGGGACCATCAACATCTCGCCTCAAATTGCATTAAAAGTGACATTTGTGTCTTAATTCGTTCGTATTTCAACTTTTAAAGCAATTCACGGTCCGCCATCTTGGTATGCTTCGGTTGCTGTGAGACGCGCATGCGCAGGTTTGCATTACATCATAAACAGCTGAGGCAGTGCATCTCTTCAAAGCAGTGTATCTTGGCGTTACACCGGTACAGTGCGGCATGGCACGCCGGTTATTTTGCATTGCCACAAGGGTTGGGTTTGGGATAAGGGTACTTTTTTTCGTACCACCTTGACCGTGGTTCCAAGCGTGTCGAAGCTACACCATAACGTGACGTCAGCACGTTATGGTGATTGGTCAACGAGTGTCGTCACTGCGTCACAGCGATGTCCGACCCTATGGTAAAAACAACTCAACCCCGCCATCTTTAAAACCAGCCGCTCTGGAACGAGATGGTTTTCAGGGAGATCGCCCAGCTCTTGATTTTTGACTTGTCTGTGGTAATCTTGGAAATAACTGGTTAACTAAGTATCCCATTGGCCCAAAGCCCTTACTGAAATATATTTACTCGTGTAAAAGTTTGATTGTCTGTTGTACACAGTGAGCTAGCTCTACATTTAGCTATCGATAGCAAGCTAAGCTAAAACGTCCTTCCGGTGCTACTGTGCTGTATTTTGCTCTTACATTCATTGCTCGTATATTTGTTAGAGAATCCCTTCCCACAAGTGAGATTACCAACGAGCAATGAATGACCGCAGTACTTAAGTCAGCTAACTTTCCCCTCATCTGGACCTGGTCTCAAGAGACATACGTACTTTGTAAATTGTTGGTTTTGCACTTTACTTTTGTTTTCAAGAAATCTGTGTTTGTTTCTGTTAACATGCAGAAAAGGGGTTAAGTAAGTAAGGAATCTTTATTTATATACAGTCTTTCACAGACCAGAGTCACAAAGCGGTTTACAATTGTTGCATTTGTCCTCTCACTCCACACAGAGATGGGAGAGGGGTCGCCAGTGGCGACCTGTACTGGGCTCAAAAGCAAAAGTTACAATTTCCTACCCTATACTTTTACTTCTATTAACTTTACAGTCAGTAAATTTGTGTAATTTTGGTGAATTTATGAACAAGAATGGAGACATATTTGCTAAATACAAGCATATATTTGATCAAAACACAAGCGCAAAATAAATGTTTAGGCATATGACAAAGTTACGCATCAGACCCTCCTTTGCTATAAGGGCTGCTGTTGCTACAGGTGTCAGATGGTCTCTCCATGGTTTTCGCACAGATTGTGCAAAGCACAGTAAGTCAGCACCATTAACTTCACATGTTCAGTGTCTGAGTCATTCCTTTAAGACTGCAGAAAGTATTTTCAACAACCACTCGCGCGGTGTTGAATTTTCTATTAAATACTTGCTGTTCATCTGTCACTCGCCCGGTGTCCTGAAAAGGTTTTTGGGCCAGTTCTGCAAGGGGTGAGCTGAGTCCCCTAAGAGGCAATAACCGATATTATAATAAATCCATGCACCGCACCAATGTTACTAGTTACGTGCCGTGCCTATGGAAAAGCGGTAAAAGGCTACCATCAGTAACACACTACGCTGCCAGGGACTCAAATACTGCAGTGTCAGACGTGTCCCCCTGCTTAAGCCAGTACATGTCCAGGCCCGTTTGAAGTTTTCTAGAGACCATTTGGATTATCCAGAAGAGGCTTGTCACATGGTCAGATGAAAACAAAAAGGAACTTCTTGGGGAAAAACTAAACTCGTCGTGTTTGGAGAAGAGCTGCATCCAAAAGAACACCATACCTAATGTGAAGCATGGGGATGGAAACATCATGCTTTGGAGCTGTTTTTCTGCAAAGGGACCAGGACGACTGATCCGCGTAAAGGAATGATAGAATTTGTTTTTTTTTTTGTTTTTTTTTTTTTTTTTTTTTATCTTTATTTGAATTGGGACAGTGCACATTCATCAACATGTGTTTTTAACATGTAAATTGGGCCATTTGTTGTGACATTTTGAATGAAAACCTCCTTCCATCAGCAAGCGCATTGAAGATGAAACGTTGCTGGGTCTTTCAGCATGACAATGATTCCAAACACACCACCTGGGCGACGAAGGAGTAGCTTCCTGAGAAGCCTTTCAAGGTCCTGGAGTGGCCTAGCCAGTCTCCAGATCTCAACACCATAGAAAATCTTTGGAGGGAGTCGAAAGTCTGTATTGCCTAGCGGCAGCCCCCAAATATCACCGCTCTTGACGAGATCTGCATGGAGGAATGGGCCAAAATACCATCAACAGTGTGTGAAAACCTTGTGAAGACTTACAGAAAACGTTTGAGCTCTGTCATTGCCAACAAAGAGTATATAACAAAGTATTGAGATCAACTTTTGTTATTGACCAAATACTTATTTTCCGCCATGATTTGCAAATACATTCTTTAAATATCAGACAAAGTGATTTTCTTTTCTCATTCTGAGGTATACCTATAATGGAAATTACAGGCCTCCCTCATATCAAGTGGGGGGACTTGCAGAATAGGTGGCTGACTAAATACTTTATTGCCCCAGTGTATAGTAGCCCTGGAGCCATTTTGTAACCTTGAGGTAGCAATAAGATTAGCAATAAGATTAGGGAAATATCCAGGCCAGTTACATTTCCTGTAGCATTTGAAAGCAGCGATTTATTACAGAAACTATAGTTGTTATTTTCAGGCCTAATCAATATGTATTATACATTGAGCTTAATGCGAAGGCATTTTTACAAGTACCAGGAAATACTAGTTGTGTTTCTGACAATTTTTTACTTTTAACCACTTTTTTTTTACTTCTCACTTTTTTTAAGTTTTGTTCTCTGCCAGTGCAAAACATTACTACAACAATGTTTGCACGTTGTGCATCAATTATGAATATTACTTGAACAAGGGAATGATTAAAAGACTAAGAGTTTACCAAAATACCTAGAACTGAAACTTTTGCCACCTCTGGCTTAGAAGTCACGTTTCCTCAACCTGGTTGTGTTTCTATTACGCTTTAGTATCTGGTACTGCATCCTATAAACTTACCCACAACCCTCTTGGTAACCATCAGACCTACAGGCAGAGGTACAAAACATTACCTTGTACCAGTTAAACCGGTGGAAACGCTCCGAGTTGAGTAGTGCTGCGTAGAGTATGGCAAAACAGGGGAGATGGAAATGGGGCATTAGTCATTCACTCTCAAAAATGTTCTCCGTGCAGACTGTTCTCCCTGTGTCACAGTTGAAAACTTTAATTCACAGTAAATTGCTCTCATTTGCTCAAGAGTATTTACAGAAAGACAATAATGTACATATATAACAGATCGTACAGCAGCCCACATGGGTAACCAAATGAGAACTCAGTCACGACACTTGGCCACAGTGTGAAGCAAAAGTACAAGCCGTGCACCATATCCTCACCGCTTCCATTGTGTTTTTGTTTACAATGATTGTGTCACAATTAATCTCCTAATGAATGAAAGTCACACCACACTAAATAAACTCAGAGATTGTCAATATTAAAAAACATGAGGTGGTGGAATTAATCAAATTAATACCCTTAGTATGTTGTACAAATGGGAATGGTCAATTTTCAACAGTGTTTCAAATACATTTACTTTCTGAAGAGCTCTCAGGTGATACATTTAGTTTCATTTAAAATTCGAGTTTTTAAAACTTGTTATTGTTACAAAAGTCTTAATTCTTTTAACAGTTTTAGCAGATTCAATGTTATTTTATATCTATTCAATTTGGTGTTTGCAAAATATGAGGAAATAAATAATCAAAATCAATAGAACATTTACTTTTAATACTTGAAGTTTTCACTACAGTCCACTGCAGGTCAACTAGTTCCCAAACAAATTCAAATGATGAAAAAAAAATATATATATACACATACAGACCGGAGGTGGTGAGCGTATTATATAGTGGACTGCAGTTATTCAAGCTGCGGAGAAAGCTCTTTGATTAAATGTGGGATGAGGGTTATAATTATTCAATTCTTCCCATGCTATGGTTGTATGATACTGATTAAGCCTTAAGATGGTTCAGCTCCAATGCAGATATGCTGCATTAGGACAATGCATTCACTAATTTTAATTTAGATAAAGGGATTGCCCACATAGAAGTCAAAATATTATATTTAAATAATGTATTAATTCAAATCAGATGAAAAGATAGTAAGGGCAGGGCTGCACATTACATCGCTCAATCCCAAAAGCCTCTTTTGATGATGATAAACATGCTCTATGTAAATTTTCTGTGGGTCCACCTGCTGCTGTCTCATAACGGTATTGTCTATAAATTGATTTATTCAAATCTTGGAGTTTGTATGGAAAGAAACACCTTTCTGAATCGTAACATGTAATTTTTAAGACGCTTACGTTTCAAACTGGGTGCCCAGTGTAGATGGAACGGCCATGAGAGGCCAAAAGTATCAGAGCTCCAAAGTTTCCAAAGAGTAAACTTAGAACTGTCATCCAATGTAATCGTTCAGTTCTGGACACGTCCAAATATCTCATCTACTTGTAAATAGTTGTCTTTTTTTAAAGATCAGAAAGCAGCAGAATAACCATAACATCATGGAGCTGCACACTGAGGTTGTTGTTCAATGTTTCAAAGTTAGTGCGACTCGTCACACAGTCTGTCGTTTGCTCCATGTCTTGCAGTGGAATGTCCCACAATCTTATTCAATCAAACAAGTATTCCAGTGGACAACGGGCTTTGAGGCAGAAAAACAATCCTGTTTCCACTCAAATCTACATAGAGCACATATAATTTAATCTGTCTGCACATTAACGACAAGCGTATAGAGACAGGTGGAGTGTAGAGCAGCCCTGCTGACAGAATCGAGCGTGTGCGGGCTCTGAACAGCTCCACATGGAGGTGAAGTGCAGTATTGTGTGGAGAGCCCTCTGTGATCAGTGGACCTCAGTGTGCGTGTGTCCCTCCGGAGTTGGGGGGTGTGGAGCTGGCGCCTGTGGTGCCCGTGTGCCCGTGGTCCCTCCTGCCATGTCCCATGATGCAGTGCGCACTGCCACAGCCTTCGTCGTCGTCTTCACCCTCGCTCTCTGAAGACGACTCTCCGAACTGCCGCGGCTTCTCGTAGATACAGCAACCTGTGGACAAGGACCGGAGTATTATACTTTTACTCACCGTTTATTTGCCCAGAGCCATCTGAATACTGCACTCGTCCTAACGTATAGGCCTCGCGTATATACAACTTCGATTACCTTGTTTTAATCTCCATCTTCATATTTTGCTTTTACATACACTATTTTACAATAAATAGTGTATGTAAAATGCATTTAATCCCAATAGGGAGAGATACCGGCTCGGATCGGCGGAGAGCAGGTGGTCCTCTGTAAATATGTGGATGTGAAAAGTGAAAACTAGTGATAGAAACTATTAGAGTGAAAAATTGTTAAATGATTTTCTGTTCATACCCAATCTTCAAAGCCACCCTGTGTAATTTTTACAGTTTCTCCATATGAAAAAACGTGTTAACTAATAACCATGTTTATTTTCATAGGCTTAGAATTTCTCAAAGAAATGCCCATGAGAGAGGTGTCCTCTCCGGGTAAATGCGGCATCTTGAAATACAGTGTTGGATAAGGGACAAAAAGAATGCGAGAATTGCGTTTTCGTTTCACATGAGATGCTGATATTGTTGCTTTCACCGTGCCTTCACAAGTTTGAAGGAACCATGGAAGACCACAGATTTGTAAAAGAAACATGGAGGACCACAGTTATATTAAAGAACCAAGGAGGACCACAGTCATGTAAAAGAACAACCCGAACAACAATCTTTTCAAAAAATAATTACGAAAAAGTCCGGCGTCATAGCAGCAAAGTATCAACATCGCAAACCACACACACTGAAAGACAGCGTTAACACAACAGGAGGCACATTGTGTAGTTTATTTGTGTAGTTTATTCACAACAGACTCACATGAGAACAATACGTAACTTTTTTCACACCGCCAATAATGACAACGAGGCATCTGCAACACAGCCTCAGGATGTCCTGACCCGGTCCAACTACTATGACACAAGTTTCAAATAAACTTATTCAGGGACAGACACTCAAATAAAACGCAGAGAATCCCCATAAAACAATTGCCAGATTACTTTATCAGTAGCGTGAGTGAATGTTCAGTTTTCTTTCACATTTTGCCATTCTGTTTTGTGCATGTACTTGTCGTGTGTATATGTATTGGTTTGAGAATGCCTTCCTACAAGTGAGGAGATTACAAACGAGCAATGAATGACCGGAGTACTTAACTTTCCCCTCATCTGGACCTGGTCTCTAGAGACATGCGTACTTTGGACTTTGTAGATTGTTGGTTTTGCACTTTACTTTTGTTTTTAATAAATCTGTGATCGTATCAAGACTGTTTCATTCATTTGTCTGTACACGTGCAGAAAAGGGGTTAAAAAGTTACGATTTCCTACCACATACTTTTACTTCTATTTACATTACATACATTATATTTGTCAATCAATCCGTATAACTGTGGTAAATTTATGAACGACAATGGAGGCATATTTGCTAAATACAAAAAGGTTTTATTTTTGATCAAAACTCAAGAGCAAAATAAATGTTTAGGCATATGATTTTTATCTTATATTCCTTTCTTACTTCTCACTCCTTTTTCGAGTTGATACTTAGATTTACAATAAACATGTATTTTAAATAACTAAGTTATGTATTGAACTCGAAAATAAAAACATTTCATTTCAAAAGACAAAAAGTGACACATCAGACCAATGTTACTAGTTACGCATGGTGTAAATTATGTGGTCTGACAACCCCTCCCACGCTGAGGAGAAACATGGAGGTACCATCTTAAAGGAAAAGCACTCACACTCGGCCGCGCCGTGCTGTACCGTTACTGTGGAAAAGCGGCATAAGATCTCAACGCTAGATGGCACTAAAAATTACACAGTGTACCTTTAAGACTAGTTATCTTTTGTAAAGCACAAAACCTGGCAAGTTGTTTTGTGCAGAGAGAAAAAGTATTTGATTATTTAAAAAATGTTAAACACTGCTTCATAGTGAATATATCAATACTATTTTTATTCTTGTAAATTTTCCTATATTTCCATTTTGAAGTACTTTTTCTCAAGTGTGTTTTACCATTTTGTAAATTAAAATTGCTATACAGAAATGTGTGAGCCACACAGGCTGTATTATCAAGAAGAAGAACCTTGTACAGCTCCTTGTTGCTTTGTAAGATGCTGTTCAAAGCTGACTAAAATAGTACTGTATAAAAATAACCTGAAGCTGAGATCAAAGTACTGAGGGAAGTAAACAGCAAATGCACACATTGCAATCGCCCAATTTAACAGAAGCTTACACTTGGAAGACCTCCTGCCCAGGTGCTCATTGTCTACAGTGTCACTGGACCATTCCACTTTCTTTTCAGTCTTCCTCTTCCGGAGTTTGATCGTCAGACTGCGACCCTCCTGCAACATCCAACATAATGGCATCAATGGCACATCGAAGGCAAAGTAGAATAATACCAGACTTTCCAGATTTCATGTTATCTTATTATCACAATTGTCATGATTCAACCACTCAAAAGGCTGCCAGTAAAGGTTAACTGGAGACGGGGTGCTTTTGATGATTTTTTAGTTTCTATTTGACAAAGCCCCTTAGGAATAGTGCAGAAGGATTTAGGGATGGGGCTGTGCTTAGGGTCTAGTTCCATCCATCCATCCATCCATTTTCTTCCCCTTAATCCATTTCTGGGTCGGGGGGGGGGGGGTGGCAGTCAGAGCTGCATCCAGTACACATAGCACCAGCCCCTCACTGACCCTCCTGCAGGTGGTGAGTCCACAGGAGCTGAGATCTAGTTTGGTGAGTAAATTATAACTATAAGTATAAAGATAAATATTGTAATAATAAAATGTAAATGTATTAATAAATATAATTGTTAAAAATATGACTTCTGACGGCTAGTAATCCACTTTAATAGATAGACCAGATAGAGGGATCCAAACAGTCGTAAATGCTAAAAAACCTAATCCAATCTTATTAAAAGTTTATCCAGTTAATCAATATCCGAGTTATCCTATCTTATTATGGTCAGTAACAAAATTATGGTGAAGGGGCTGCCCAATCTTCAGTAAAGATATTAATAGAAAATAATTATAGTAATAATCAAATCCCATCTTCAGCCCCTGAAGTGCCTCTGATCACCCCACTTTGGTAACACTGGTATAATGATGTTATTATGGCATTCAGTTAGAAAAAAAAAAAAGTACTGGGAGGGGTGTTCCCAGGCCATAGTTTGGAAAGTCCTTCTCTGATGAGTGGTTGAAAAATGATATTGCATGTGTGGACTTAATTTTGACCGATTTTTTTTATTTTGATTAAAAAGAAACTTGGGCATGATGTTTTGATTGATTTATTTATCTAAACCTCATATTTGCGTGTCCCAGTTTGTAATTTTGAACCTGCTCATACTCCTGTCCCCGCAGGCAAGTGCCATTACTCTCTTTCGCGCTGACAGACACCCTCATGAGGAGCATCGGGAAATGCTACACGGGTGTAGCCATACCTGCTGTGGCGGCGGCGGGGTATCGGTCTGTACCGTCTCCGTTATGGTCTCACTGGATGTTCCGGGGACCTCCGTCATCCCTGCTCTCCCTGGGCCCGACTAATGATAGCACGGCCACTCTGCTCACGAGAGACGGTGGATAGGCGCGGACCATATAACGACACAGCCAGAAATGTCTGATTTGGGGTCGAAGAATCTCTTAAATGTGCAGTTCCAGCGGGTGTTAGCTCAGATGCTATGCAGGTAGCAGGCAGAGGATGGAAGACTATAGGGATGGGGCCGCGGGTCTTCCTATTTTGGGTTTTACGGCGGTTGGCAGCCAACTTGTAGCATTACCGCCACCTTCTGTTGCGGAGTGGGTCAGACAGTATGTAACTGTTGGTATGAAAGTTTTTTGTTTCGTCACAAGGCGGCGCTAGTGTGCATTTATTATCGCCAAAGTTTATTTGATTTTTTGTACATTTTTATATTTGTGTTCTGACTATTAGGTTAGTATTGGTTACGTTTGAGGAAGGATAATAATTCATTTAGATTAATATTTCAAATGTATACTTAAAGCTGCACTAACTGACTTTATTTTTGTATTAATTACTAAAATGCTATCCATGTCCGGGTAGGGCATTGGGATATACGTCCTTTTGAAGAAAAAGTAGTGCAGATTTGTGCTGGCGTGACATTATATTTTAGATCGAGTTTTGATAAAACAAGGAAGAGAATGTGTTTCGGGTCGCAGATTGTGACCAATCACAGCGAACCACTAGCCCCCACTTTCGTGAGAAATCTACAGGTCCGTTAGCATAGACGGCTGAGTTAGCACAACAAGCCGAGGAGCTAACCTGAAGCTTCCTCGTCTTCGTCACCGGGTACTGCTTACACAGCGAGACAGCCATCCAAAAGAAAGTCTCGTTCCTTCGCGCTTCCCGGTTCTATCGTTCTATGGTCACGCCATCCACGTGAAAATCCATATCCATGTATTATCCATATTGAGAGACACTAGCTCCGTCCCAACAGTGGGTGTGTGTGGGGGGCGATAGCTTCGTGGGTGCGGGGAGGGGAGCAGAAAGAGCAAGGCCAGCGAGTCCGCGGCTTCAAAATCCCAAAGTCAGTTAGTGCAGCTTTAATGCCTTTGAGATCACTACTTCCGGTTTGCCGATAGGTTTAGTGGAACAAGTCAAGTTAGCGGAGATAGACGGACCCGACAAAGCAGAGTGAAGTCATAACAATTAGACATTATAAGCTATAGTCCACCGGGTTGTTCGCCAGCAGGCCAAGGTGGTGTGTATGATTGTATATTAATTCATATTTTGTTTATTATTTATTTAATATCTAAGTTGTACCATTTTGTGTTTTGTTGCTAGTTCTACGGTGTGAACTGTATAAAGATGATAGGAATTAACCTGGCAAGAGCCAGATTGATGATTGTGTAGAACTCTAACGCGTTCTCCACGATATCAATCTGGGATTTCTCCCGGAGAATCCTTTCGGGGAAAGGAGGGATAAGCAGCAGAATACTTCAAGCTGATTGGGCGAAGTGACGCTGTGTGCCCGCCTACCAAGGTTGCCGTCCAGAAATGCACAAAGCGCCTCTCGCTGTTCATCTTTCAAAAAAGAAATTGGAGATTCTGCTAAAACTGACTTGATAGCCTCAGCTACGCGTCCGTCCTCCTGCGTAGCCATGTTTGTTTTGCTTCGGCCCGGCACTTCTTGCTTTCGTCAAACCCGGATATCCCGCCCTAAACCCCCAGACTGGCGCGTGATTGGCTCGCACACCCAGTGGTTCGACTCGAAAAGTGTAAGCGGGAGCGGTACAAGATGTATTCTCGAGTGTTTGTGAACTCACAAATACCGCGAGAATTCAGCTTGCAGGCAAGGTTAGATAGGAATCAGACTCAGGCAAAACGGGATCTTTGTACGACAAAGCCTCCTGGCTGGTTTATTCACAAAATGGTCGTTAATTTCAGGCAGCACAAAAGACACAGATACATTATATATGGAAATCTACGTCATCATAGAAAAGGCCAAACCTTCGGCACCAAATAGCCTAAACAACGAAAGTCTCTGTGGTCCTTGAGACCTCCACAAGGCCAGGTTATTAATACTATTTTGTCTTGCATTTGTCCACCTGTGCAGTACATAGGTCACTGTTTACCACACCCTCCCATTTTATCACATAAACACATGTGATAATAAAAATACAAAAACAACAAAAATAAATCAATCAATCAACAAAAACTTACAATCATGAAATCAAGTAAAGTGAATAACTGATTCTTAACTTGCAAAAAAATACACACAAAAAATAATGATAATAAAAAATAATCACTTTCACTATATAATCATGAATTTAGCTGATTTTATAATTCAAACAATAACAAAAATCTCTATTGGACACCAGAACCAAGCTGATATGAGTCATAGAGCAGGCGGGACTGAGCATTAAGAATCAAATATATAATTAATTATCCTAATGTGAAGTCTTAATATTAATTGCTACATTAACCTAAACGTTTTGATTTTACACTGTACACCTGTACAGCTATTATCTTATACTATTTTAAAACACTAATATGATTATTTTGCAAAGCTATGTACAATTTCTGTTGAATTTGCATCTTAGTGGAACATATAGCTAATAAATCTCACTATCGGACTCCATCTCATCCTCTTCTTCTAGACAGTAGTTTACACTCATCATTAGCGGCATTGTGTTAAAGCTGCACTAACTGACTTTATTTTCGTATTCATTACGAAAATGCTATCCATGTCCATGTAGTGCATTGGGATATACGTCCTTTTGAAGAATAATTAGCGCAGATTTGTGCTGGCGTGACATTATATTTTAGATCGAGTTTTGATGAAACAAGGAAGAGAATGTGTTTCGGGTCGCAGATTGTGACCAATCACAGCGGACCACTGGCCCCCACTTTCGTGAGAAATCTACAGGTCCGTTAGCACAGACAGCTGAGTTAGCACAACAAGCGGCGGAGCTAACCTGAAGCTTCGTGTCTTCATCACCGGTTACTGCTTACTTAGCGAAACAGCCATCCAAAAGAAAGTCCCATTCCTCCGCGCTTCCCGGTTCTATCGTTTTATGGTCACGCCATCCACGTGCAAATCCATATCCATGTATTATCCATATTGGGAGACACTAGCTCCGTCCCAACAGTGGGTGTGTGTGGGGGGAGATAGCTTCGTGGGTGCGGGGAGGGGAGCTGAAAGAGCGAGGCCAGCGAGTCCATGGCTTCAAAATCCCAAAGTCAGTTAGTGCAGCTTTAATATACTGTTTGGAAATTGCAGCTGCAATCAAACGCTCAATCAGATGTCTAAGGCAGGGGTCGGCAACCTAGGGCACGCGTGCCACATGTGGCACGCCGCGGAATAAACACTGGCACGCCGGCACCTCCGCATTATTCTCACTGTATCTGTCCTGTTTTAAAAATAAGAGCATCTCCCTCTTTGTCTGAGCGCTTTTGATGGCCGGCACTAGGACCCAGCGAACACCACAGCGGGGATAAGCTGCGTGCGGTGCTTCCCTCACCGGTGTGTGTGTACAGTAGCTGTGGGTGAAGCCAGGAGCCTGCAGCTGCAGGTGTATGCGAGATTTAAACTTCTTTTTGCACATTCAAAGTAGTAACTGTAGTAACAAAGTAGTAACAGCCCTTGGTGACGTCAGAACGGGTACGTTTCAACGCTGTAAGTTGTTTACAATTTGGTATTCGTTCTTTTTTCGCGGATATTCAAGATGACAAGGCCGTGTACAGCGAGTCTAAGGTAACTACTAGAATGTATCATTTTGTTGTCACTGAGATAGTCTAGTGGTTGTGTCGATGGCCTGCCAATCCAGATACTTGGGTTCAAATCCCGCCCCGGACACTTTTTCCACACTCAAAACGGCAATTTATGTGTAGTGAGCAATTGTCACCTGTAGAGTGCAGTATTGTGTTGGGCCTCAGTGGAGAGAAGAGAGAAAAGGCAGTCCTGTGGCATAGATCCATGGTTTTCAATGCATGGGCGTAACCCGCTATGACGTCACACACAGGTTAGAGCATAGACATGAAAAACACGTTCTTTTTATAAAATATAGGATTTTTTTTGCCGGAATCTCTTTCAAATTGACATTGTCATGCAATTTTGATATCCACTATTTTTTTTTTTAAAAACCCGTCATAAGGTCTTTAACTCATTCACTGCCCATGACGACAAAACTCGTCATGTTGAATAGTAACGCTCACTGCCCATGACGAGTTTGACGAGTTTTTCGTGTTATTACACGGGAGGCTGCAGTAATGTCTGGCGCACCTTGTGAATGACCCACAACACTGATATATAGTACAAATGTACCTGTAATGATAAATCACCACCAGTAGGATGCAGTATTGCACCACAGGAGAGGTCATAAGTCAGTGGAGAGAAGGAGGAGGAGTGTGGGAGTGTGAGAAAGCGTGGTGCTGTAGCAGAGCGTGCTGCTGTAGCATTGAGACGGATCAGTGATCTAGTTTAGCGATAGTATAGCAAGAGTGATGGAGAAAAAGAATAGTTATAAGCAGTTGACACTGCTTCAGAGATTGACTCGCGGATCAGTGAGTGAGGTCGAGAGGGGAGAGAGGGGAGACCCCGGTGGAGGTCCGTCTCTGCAGCCATATTTGCGCGGAGCAAGAGCCCCGAGCAGAGACACACCTTCCGCCTCTCCAGCGTATCAGCTGCTGTTGTTACTGATGCCTCGGATTCGTTCAGCAAACCTGATCATGATTTATCGGACACACTCACAAACACTCACACGCACTCACTCACTCACTCACTCACGCACACAGACACTCACTCACACAGACACTCACTCGCACACTGACAGTCACACACACACTCAAATTCACATGCTTCATTCTATTTTATACATCTATAGTTTTATTGATCTTTGTGTTGTTGTTGTTTGACGTTTTGGTTGATGGTATAGAAGAAAGTTAAATTTTCTATCTGTGAATAAATTGCAATTGCAATTTGCCATCAAAAGTATTATTTCAGAGTCATGTTTTTATATTTTTTGTAATGGAACAAGTGTGAAGATGTTTTGAGTTGTCACT